TGCAGGATTTCTGTTGTAGAGGATAATGACAAATAATAATTTTTAGATGTGTACCTTAGAACCTGAAGCTAAGGAGACAGCTTCTCCTGTCCATGCCCCTAAACTGCCCTTCACATCCCATGAGTGTTATTGGGAATGCTACAAAGCACAAAAAAAGGAGGGGATATGAGAGAGTTTAGGGGGATCGACTCTTTTAAAAAAAAAAAAAAGTATAGGCCATCCAGACAATCAAAAAAATCGGTTTTAGGCTCAAGACAATAAATGAGGAAATGTCTGTTAAGTGCTTAGTGTTTGTTACAGCTGAGCTTTTAAAGTGTGTGTGTGTGTGTGTGTGTGTGTGTGTGTGTGTGTGTGTGTGTGTTATGCAAAGCCGGCAGACTCCAGAAACACTATATTTTTTAAACCAGGCTCAGGGGCTGAAGAGATGGCTCAGTCCTAAAGTTCCTGCCACACAAGCATGAATACGTAAGTGCAGATCCATGCTATCCAAGACGGGCAGATCCCTAGGAACCATTTCCCACCATGCTATCCAAGTCAGAGCCGGATGCAGTGGTGCACATCTGTAACTCCAGCACTGGGAGGCAGAGACGGGCAGGTCCCTAGGAACCATTTCCCAGCCATCACTGCTGAACCCATGAGCTCCAGGTTCATACCCACAATAAGTTGAATTTATTACAGAACAAAGCCGGGAAGCCTGATGTCATGGATCACGAATGCCCGCTCTGTGGCATTGAGAAAAGGGGCAGTGTAAAATGGAGAAGAAAGAGGTCACTAAAGCGTGGCCTGACATTGGGACCTTCTTTCAGCAGGTCACTTCATCTCAGGGCCCTCATCCATCAACCAAGACAGAGGGATGCTTCCAACCCTGAAGTTCTAGAGTTGCTTCTCTCCGACACCTAAAGCTGTTTTGCTAAAAGACCCCAGAGCTTGACAACTCCCTTTGGCTTTTATGATCTATGAGCACCCACAGGAAGCTTGACTGGCAGTCCCTCAGGGAGGTAGCCCCCATGGCAGAGACGAAAAAAACCCAGCTTCAGGATGGCATGGTTTAAAGACCTGCCAACTGTGAGAGGCACCAGTGTCTGCAGGGTCTGGAATGCCATCCCCTGAGCACTGCAGACACTGAGGGGCTGCCATTAGATTCTTACCCGACATCATGCCAAACTGAGGTGCTGCCAGTGAGGAAAGGCAGCACTCCTGAGTTCTGAAGTGAGTAAGGACAAGGGAGTAATATCTTCGCTTCCAACTTGAAGCAAATAAATCCCAGCTAAGCTGGGTTTGAGGCCAACCCTGGAAATCCTGAGGCTGCTTTCTGTGAACTATGGGTGAGGCCTTGCCAGCAACCAGTAAGACTAAATTTAAAAGCAGTTTATTTGTAGATCGTGATGGGTCGTTTTGTTTTGTATTCATTTTAATTCCTTCAAAGAAGAGACTGCCTTGTCGTGGGTTACCTTCACTCTAGAATCTGATAGCTACCTTTCACAGGCAAAAATGAGATACTGAGTGCTTCCAAGAAATAGTGTTCAGGCTTGGGAGGTAACCTCTGGACTGGAGAATCCCTACATGCAAAGATAATAAGTGGATGCCACAGATCCTGCAAGTAGCCAACAGTAGGTGCCTTGGGATCATCTGTTTTTGCCTCTCCTAGGCAGGAGCTCTAGATTTTCATAATTGATTTTATACATAAAAGGAGTGGCTGCTTGAGAAATCTGGAAACTGGAGTTTGCAAGTTCTGACTCTGTTTCCTGCTCTCCCCATCCTACTAGGTCTGAGGGCCAATGCACCACCCATCACTTGGGAAGCTATTTAAAGTTGTGTATCTCTCTCTCTCTCTCTCTCTCTCTCTCTCTCTCTGTGTGTGTGTGTGTGTGTGTGTGTGTGTGTGTGTGTGTGTGTGTGTAGCATTTCTCTATACATACTAAGCAAACTTGCTGCTCACCATATAGCCCAGAAGACTGGAATCCTCCTGCCTCAGCTTCAGGAGTACTAGGATTATAGGTATAAACCCCTCACCTATGAATAACACTGAATAACATGTTTTTCTTTAAGGTTCTTTTATATCAGAAATTGCAAGCTCCTAAAGAACTAGTCACTGGCCTAGTTTTGTGTAATCATATGGCTTACACAGGACCCCAGCAGATAGCAAACCATGTTAAGCCTTTACATCAAAAATCACTTGGATTCTTTCTGGTATAGCCTGCTTCCTTGCCTTGTTTTCTAGGGACCTTTCTTCCGACACTTTAGGAGGCAAGTGTGGGTCATCACAAGGTCAAAGCTAGCATGCCACAACTCTAGTAAAAGTTGAAGCTCATTGTCCTGACCCCAGTGGCCTCTTACTTGGAGCCAAGCCTAATTCAAGCATTGCATCTCCCGCTCAGGCAAAGACAAAATAAATAGGCCCTGAACTTGGAACAGTGTGTTCTTCTGCCTTGTCTCTAACCAGCTTGCAAGCTGTTGCCCATTGAGCCAGAGTGAGATTTCCCTGGCAAGAAGACAGAGTTTCTTCTGAAGTGTTCTGACAGCTTGCTCCTGAGGCTCCTCTCTCATCCATCCCAGGGTTCTAGGCTCCTTCACTTCCCTGCAGCAGGAACTGCTGGTCCCCCACCCCCACCCCATGAAGAGTGAAGATTCCTGTCAGCATAGCCTAAGGCACAGACTCTTCTACTCCACTCCTGCCCTAGCAACAGCCTCCTTAAATGCCGCCCTTGGACCCAGTACAACACAGCTAACTGTTTGCATGGGACACTAGTGTGTTTAGAGCTTAAGGATCCAAACAGACAATCATTTTCTTCTATTTGCTAGTGGCGCTGCCTGCCTGGTGACTTTGGCAGATGGAGAAAAGAGCTAATCCGTAGGTTCCAAGCAGAAGGTTATTGATGAAATGTCACCATCTGTTGGTGTCATTAAAATGATATGAGTCATAAAGTGTTGCTATTGTTTGGTGTTTTGGTGTTTTCTCAAAAAAGATAGCTTGGAGTTTAGGGAGACGTCGTTAAGTTGTGGATGGAGGTGGGGACAGAGTGGGGAGGGGAGCCTACCCCGGAAGAAAGAGCTTGGTGAATTCTTCAGATGAGTTGATGTGTCTTCAGGGGAGCCGCTCCTCTGCTGGGTTAAACTCTGTATGCACATGGTATGAGGTGAGGTGCTCGTAAAGACTGGGACAGACCTCAACTCTCCATGACTACTCCTTGGTGCCAACTACCAGATTGTGGACAGGAAAGTCATTCATTTGGTTACATGAAGAAGACCTCATTGGAAGAAGACTTAATAGGCCCCTGGCCTTCTTAGTCTTCTCTGCCCTGTGACACACAAATAATCATTCTTGTACCTAGATGGTACCATAGGTATATAAGCCCATAGGAGATAGTTGTCTCTGAGGGCCACCTCTCCTCCAAGGATGATGAGGTGGCTAAGATCAGGGACAGAGTTCCCAGGAAAGAGTAAAGACAGTGGTGGATAGAGTGGCTTCTGCATCACATTAACAAATGGGTTGGAGAGAGTTGAGGTATGTGTTTGATGAAGGTTTGGGTAACCAAAATAAATTGTCAATTTCTTTACCTAATCCCCACAAGTCTCTCCTATGTGTACTTTGTGAATTCTTACCCACTGCCACAAGCCTGTTTTTTCCAGTCTTTTCCAGTCTGGCTTTTGTCCATCCCTAATGTGTATCAGGAAATAAATTAACTGTGTCACTGTGGATCTGTACATATCCAGCCATGACCTCTAGTTAAGTACTTTGTCCCTTAAGCCATCTGGTTCAAACTATTTCCACCTGCCCCTCCTTTGGAACAGACACTGAAAGGAGCCCAGCCCTGGTGCTTAAAACATGTGCAAAAGCCTGAGGCCTCTCTCTGTGCTATCTAAAGGAAACGTCACTGCAAGAGCACTCATTGGTATTTTTAGATCTGGTGCTCTGTCCCACTGCTGCTGTGTCGTTTCAAAACAAGCAGAACGGGCAGTGATGGGTGGTGTCAGCAGTGCTGTGGTGGTGACAATGTGGCCCCATCTCAGGGACCAATGGTCATCCTGCTGGGCAAATCCACCTTTTGTGTCTTCTGTCCCTGGGGCTTGAGAGTTGCTGACTGCAGTAGAAGTCACCAAACCCCTGGGGGCAGGCTGCCACATCAAGAGATTGGGTGTTTGTACCCTGCCTCTGAGATGTCAAGCAGGGTTGATCCCATGGGACGCTTTAGCCCTGTTTCTCTGAGTCCTAAGGCATGTGTTTGTATAATGTGCCTTTAATGACGAATGAAATGGTTTAGAATGAAATAGTTGATTAAGCAAGTTAGGAACACCCATGCAGAGTGTTGGGCTTATTCTTGGGTGGGTGAGAGGTAGCTAGGACCTCGAACGATTATCACTGAACTGTTTCTGAAGTGAGTTTCCTATGCCTGGTATTAGTTGGAGGGAAAGAGAGGAGGGGGAAGGAAAGGGGGCATCAAGAGATTTAAAAAATTTTTTTATCTGTATTCTTCCTCCTAAGGTGTCTGAATCACAGCTCTTGGGAAAAGGAGATGGGGTCACAGGTCGATAGATCAGCAGATATTGTTAACCATAAAACGTTCATTAAGGGAGATTTTTTTTTGAAAGGATGAGGTGAATCCTATCAAAGCACATTATATGCAAATATAATAACGAAGCCAATTGTTTTTACAGTTGAATAAGAGACACAGTTGGATCAAAAAATGTCATAAGTAATAACTATGGTCGATGTTAGATAATCAGTTGATAAACATGAGAAGCTGTAAGATAGATACCCCCAAGGAATAAAAAGAAACTTCTGGAGTGCTCTGGAGGGGTGAAGAGTTGCTTGTTCCTGGGCCTCAGGCTGTGACATATGGAGTGCTCTTAGAAAAGAAAGCCTGTGAAAGCAGCTGAGGTGGCTTGGGAAAAGCCTTAGTGGAACACAAGATGGCCGTCGATTGCTCTGTGGTCTTGCCATTTGTGGCCCTGTTTTCCCCTTGTCTCTGCCTCTTTATATCTGTCCTCTTGTTCTACAGCAGGCCACAGAGACTGCCGAGGAAGAAGATGACCAGCCCCTCAGCCTGTCCTGGCCATCCAACACCCGCAAGCAGGTCACCTTCCTAATCGTTCTTCCTATTGTGTTTCCCCTCTGGATCACCTTACCTGACGTCCGAAAACCTGTGAGTGAACCCCTGTGGAAACAGCTCCCTTGTAAAAAAAAGTATGGTAGCCACCATAGTCTGTTTCCAGTTGTGTTTAGAGAGAAAGGTGAGGTGAACCCATGTATGCCTCTTCTCAGACATGCCTGCTACTTCAGTCACAGCAATTGTTCAGTGACTAAACATCGTGAACCACCCCAGAAATCAGAAGTGTGAAAACCACCATTTTATGCTGTTCATGAATCCTGTGGGATGGAACTGAAGTGTGGTACACTGGGGGATGGTTCATCTCTACCCCAGGCAGATCTCTGTGAATTTAAGGCCAGCTTGATCTACATAGTGAGTTCCGGGACCGCCAGGGATATATAGAGAGAGCCTATCATTTTTAAAAGGGAGAGAAGGGTGGTGGCATTCACCTAGAGACAAGAAAAATGACTCAGTGGTTAAGAGCACAAGCTGCTCTTGCAGAGGACCTGAATTCAGTTCTCAGAAACCACAGTAAGTGGCTCACAGCCACTTGTAACTCCAGCTCTGGGGATGCCATCTTCTGGATTCTGAGGGACCCTGCAGGCAGGTGTGTACAAACCCAGACATAGGCACATACATATATACACAATTTTCAAAAAAAATTAAATCATAAAAAAAATAGTTGACCTGGAATATATATCAGTGTCACGTGCCATATGAATCTCTTAATAAGAAAAATGTCAAAGAACTTGAAACCACCATAGCAATTTCCCCTTAAGGGGTACAACTCAAGATCCAAGGAGCAAAGCAACTCTGTATTTCCTTGAATTTTCTTTTGGCTCTATATTGGATTTTAAAACTGCAAATAATTTAAAGAATTACAAATGCCTACATATATGATATTCCTTCTACAATTTTATTGCCATCACTATAACCAATATTATTTAATATTGTCAGATGTCAAAGGCTGTGAATGTCATACCATTAGCAAAATGTAATCTGAGTGCAGGCTAAGCAAAGGGGCATTCCCTCCCAGGGTTGGTAAACTCAGATCTTGAACCATTAATGTTTGCCCGGGAGGTGGAGACAGTAATGGGAGTAACAGGGCACAGGTATCAACACACACATGACAGAAGCATGTACCTATCATGCATCATATTCTGCAACAATATTTTCAATGAATCACATCGTGGGATCTATGGAAACATCTATAATAGGATATATATGTATTATTAGTGAAAGAAAAAAATCTGCTCAACCCCTAAGACCAAGTTCTCAGATCAGGATAAAGGAGATTTATTTGCACCAGAAGGACAAAGGGCAGGGAATAAGAGACAAGCACAGGAAATAGAGAAAGAGGGAGACTGGGAAGGGACCAAGGAGGAAGTTAAAGAGATATTTATCCCGAAGGGAACGGGCAAAGGACTGCCTCCGACTAGAGAGGGAACAGACTGGCCCATAGGGAAATGGCAGTTTATAAAGTTACAAGGGGAAATCCTGTGTTAGGATGAGGTGTTTAATTTTAATTGGGCCTGTTAATCATGAGGCTTTTGCTTGCTGGACTTCGGTATTTTGATAGTTGGACCTTGGTAGTCAGCCTCAGGAGGAGGAAGTAGTCTAATAAGGGAATAGACCTTGGGGACCAGCTTTAGGAATATAATCTAGTGGATTTTGGAAGGCAGAGGGAATGAGAGAGAAGGTCAAGGCCTGCCAGAGCCACGTTCACCATTCTCGAGCTGGCCAGAGTCCCTTCAGTTGGTATAAGAAAAAGAGCTATAAAAGTAAGTCAACCAAATCATACCTGGTCACCTCCAGAGGATGTAACTGAGATGCATACCCAGGTCTCTGCCACTGCATTGGCCTCCCCTCAGATTTCTTGAGACCAGAAGGTTGAAATGTGAAAATAAAAAAAAAATTTAAATTTTCAAACATTTCAAAAAAATACATGCAAGACAATTAAGTCTTTCTGGTGGTCCTACTTTCCTTATTTGGCCTGAGGCAGGGTGAGAAGAAAAATCCTATGCCATTAGCCTGGACTGTTAATAACCCAGCCAGGTAGAAAGAGAGCCATGTCTTACAATGCAGTAGACACTAGGAGAAGACTCACAGAAGTACTCCTCACAACATAGCTTCCCCGGGAAAGGTTGCATGCAGCAGGTGCAGTTCCCTGGAAGCAATATTTGAGTTTCTTAATTCACCTTACAACTGCAGGGCGTGTGTTCTTCGAGAAGGACTGGCTTCCTGAAAACCATAGCAAAGCATCTAATGTGTTTGATGCTCCTCCTCCAAGACACACTACACTGACAGATCTGAGATGTCTTCATTATCCCCTCTGATGGTTTATATTGACTGTCAACTTGGCAGGATCTAGGTTAACTGGACACAAGCCTTTGGGCATATTTGTGAGAGGCTTTAGGTTACCTGAGGAGGGAGGACCCACCCTAAATGTGGGTGGTGCCATCCCATGGACTGGGTTCTCCAAACTCAACAAAAAGGAGATGGCTGCTGAGTACCCAACACTCATTTCTGCCTGCTTCCTGATTGGATACAATGTTACTATCTGCCTTATACTACCTTTGTACCCTCTAACTGTGAGCCAAAAAAAAAACTCTTCCCTAAGTCGCTTCTGTCAGTTCTTTTGTAACGAGAAGAAAAGTAACTAAAATGTCAACCTTTCTGGCTGTTTGACCCAGTGTTTTTGTTTACCTCACAAAGAAAAGCCAGAAGACAAGGTATAGTTTTCTAACTCTCTACAGAAGCCTTAATGTGATATGGTCCAGAGTAGTAAGCTACCTGGCTAATGAGACCCAATTGCTGCTTTGCTCTGTGCCCTTGGGCAGAGCATCTTGAGAGCAGAAATGTGTGTCAGGGCTATTCTTCACTTCAAGTGGGCAAGAGGCAGAGAGGGAATGCTGGGGCTCTGGTGGCCTTCTCCTCTCCCTTTTATTCCATCTACCCCAGTGGCACATCTGCCCCCTTCTATTAATCCTCCCTGAAACACCTTTGAAGACCTACCCAGGGATGTGTCTCGCAAGTCTTCTTAGGTCATTCTCAGTCTAGTGGAGTTCACAGTGAGTATTAACTGTCACATCTCACAGCTCAATTGTGACAAGACTGACTAATGAGAAAATGGACTTGCATGAGACTCTCTTCTTGGTAACTCCGCTGACTCATTCTTCACTCTGCAGCCCACCTTCAGGGGCGGATGGAGCTTGCTTTCTCTGTTAGTTTCTCTTCTAACTGCTGTGACCAGCTACCTGGCAGAAGCAGCCTAAGGGAAGAAGGCTAGATTTTAGCTTATGGTTTTAAAAGGATAAATTCCATCAGGTCTGGAAAGCATGGCTGATTCCCATGTGGCAGCTGGTCATGTGACACTCAGTCTGGAGCAGAGAGTGGTGAATACTAGTGCCCATTGATTTCCTTCTGTTGACCCGGTTGGGGTCCCCATAGGATGCTGTCACCTACACTCAGAGTGAGCCTCCTCTTCTCAGTTACACCTCGCTGGGCATGCCCTCAAAGACAAACCCATAGGTATCTCTCCTATGTGATTCCAAATCCTGTCAGGACAATGAAGATTAGCCATCGCCTTCCTTGCTTCCCCAAGCATGAGCCACAATATGGAATGGACCATTTTTCTGTCTTTTTCTGGGTTTGGTATGCTGTTCCAAGCAGAAATGAGACTACCAAGGGAACATTTAGTTATGTTCAGATTTCCTCAGCAAATATTCATCACTAAGGACCACATAGGCCCTTAAAGAGTATAATAACACAAAATTCATAGTTTAATAACTAAACCAAGGTATGTTCGCTGTGCTGGATAGTTTTATGTCAACTTGATACAAGCTAAAGCTGTGTGAGAGGAGGGAACCTCAGATGAGAAGATGCTTTCACAAAAGGAGCTATCGGAAAACCTGTAGGGCATTTTCTTAATTAGTGATTGATGGAGGGAGGTCCAGTCCATTTGGGTGCTTCCATCCCTGGGCTGGTGGTCCTGAATTCTATGAAAAAGCAGGCTGAGCAAGCCATGGTGAGCAAGCCAGTAAGCAGCACCCTCCATGGTCTCTGCATGTTCCTGCCCTGTTCGAGTTTCTGTTCTGGCTTCCTTTAATAATCAACAGTAATGTGGAAGTATAAGCCAAATAAACCCTTTTCTCCCCAAGTTACTTTTAGTCAGAGTGTCTCATCATAGCAATAATGACCACAGGTAGAAAACACTTACATAGGACTCAAAGCAAGATTTCATAGCAACAGTAAACAGCAACTCGAGCCTTGGACTCCCGCTCTGGGTCATGCTCACTCCACTGCCCTGACACTGACAGTTTGTTCCTCCTCTCCTGTCTTATAGGAGCAACCTTGGGAAATGCATTTTTCTGGACCCCATTTTTGTCAACCATTAATAAAGGTTTCTAAGATGTCTAGATTCCCTACCAGCCTTGACATTCTGCGATAGAGAAAAGCAAAAATCAAGAGATCAGCCTCATTACACTATTGCAGATTGAAGACGACTGTATACCCCAGCTTGCCCACGATAGTCTCAGCTTACTCTGAGAGCATACTGGTTGGAAGACAAACTATGTGGACCTCCCTGCACATACAAGAGGCCAAATGAAATAAACCTTGTCCGTAGATAAACGAACTGTTAAGATGTTTTCTGGTCCTATTTATTACAGGGGAGTTTTATTAGATTGTTTCTTATGTCAGTTTTCTCTTTGGTCTGTAACACACCATCTCAAACTCAGCTTAAAACAAGAGCATTTCAGCCCATGATTCTGAAGATAGGAAGCTTCCACTAGGCTCAGTTGGACCGTTCTCCTGGGAGCAGGTTGTCATAGGAGCCTCTCAGCTGAAATAGCTCATGTTCAACAAAGACTCTAACTAGTCTGGTCTGGGCTTAGTCACAGTATAGAAAAGAACCAAGAGCTATAAAAATGAAAACTCCAAAAACTCTCCTGAGATCTAGGTTGGAATTTGACTCTCTGCCAGCACATTCTGTTGATTGAAGCTGGTATAAAGCCAGCCCAGACCTTAGAGTAGAGATCACCTATTAATGGGAA